ACATGCCTTTGGTCAACATCAACGTGGGGCCTGTGTCCCAACCCCAGCGGCTGATTCGTTTGTCGCCTGAGGCTTCACACGTGGCCAGATCTTATTTGGTGTGTTTGGCTATGATTTGGAGCTCCAGTGATTTTCGGACTTTCCTGCGTGAGAACCAGATCCTTTCTGTGAAGCATGGGCAGGACGAGAAGTACTACGATAGACTGTTATCCGAGAATCCTGATAAGCTGCTGAAAGTTGACTTTGAGGTAGATGGAGGAGTCTTCGACCCACAGTCGTTGCGGGATTCTCGTGTCACAGCAGGTGGTCGTGGTCGTGGTGTTGGCAACAAAATGAGATTGCCGGAGTCTTTCCGATGGGGTGCCGTCAGCTTCAAATACCACCAGCCACCCAAGGGATCCCAGCATGGTTCCTTGCAGTGCGATTGTATGAGACGTAGCCACCGACGTACCAACCAGAAGGGACAGCCGATCATTTGCACATGGACTTGCAAGTTTGAGAACGAGGATGCCCGTAAAGAGCTGGTCCGTAGAATGAAGCATTGGGTTGTTCTGGGTTTGGACTGTGCCACACATCGCAAGCATCAAGACCTTAGAAAAGTCATCATGAACAAGTCCATGGATGAGATACCAGATGATACTGCTCTGAATGCTGTGATGCCTTCTGAAGACAGGGATGCCACTGACATAGAAGGGGAATCAATGGTCCCTGAGCCTTCCGTGCCCGGGGAAGCCAGCAGCAGTAGTGCTTTGCCAGCGCCAAAGGCAATGCCCAAGGCAAAGCAAAAACAGAAAGCAAAGACAAAGGCAAAAGCCAGGGCCACACGTCAGCAGCCGGCCGAAGTTGTCGAGCCAGCTCCCAAGCGGGCACGGGTGCTTGAAGCACCTCAGTCGCCTCGAGACGAAGCGGCTTCGGATCCTCCCACATCGGACTCAGGCAGCAGCTCATCCAGTTCCAGTTCCGGGCGATCGAAAAGTTCAGGTACTGATGAATCAGGATCATCGTCCAGCTCCTCCTCTTCTTCGTGAGCAGAAGGAGTGTCTCAGTGTTTAATGCCGAAGTGTTCGTTGAACGGTTGCTTCCCGAAGATGGTTCGGTTCTTGCAGCTTGATTCACAGTGGTGGTTTGCCAGAGACTGTGTTGACGTTTGTGTGCCGTGTGTGTCCGGTGTTTGATAATTGCGCTGCGTGAATGTCTTCTGTATTTCAGTAGAGCAGAGTAGAGCAGAGCAGCAGAGCATGCGATAGATCGCTCGGCTCGGAGTCACTGGTCACACCTGTGCAGGACCATTCCGTGCGTGCTGGGCAGCCGGGCACATCTGCGAGGACCGAGTTGTCATAAATTGTGAGTGGTTGTACCCCTGCCGCTCTAGCCAGGGCTGCTGACCGACTGCAAAGCATGTATGAACGAACCTTTTGGGCAACATGATACATGGGTTGGAGGCTCAAATTTCAAGTAGACGTCAGGGCCAAGGTAAGGCGAACTTCGGCGGCACAAGGGCAGCAGTCCAACCATAAGGTCCAATCATATGGTGGCATAGCCAACATGTCCTACTTTTGAATAGGCAGCCAGAGCTCCTTCAGGCAAAATAGGCAGCCAGTCACATAGGTAGACTTGAATCGACTTGAACCATGTCGGATCGGCGTCACACTGCTCGTTGTATGAGCTGTAGAAGATCGCGGAGCCCTTTGATGAGGAGGCGATCACAAGGCCGGGAGTTGCCACCACCGCCGCCTGTGCCAAAAGCTCCTGAGTCACGACGTCGATTGCTGCCCCCGCCGCCGCCCCCACTGCCCCCACCTCCAGTGCCCCGTTCTGTGGTTCCGTCTGGAGAGACTGGAGAGAGAAGTTCGAGAAGTTCGTCACCGGGCAGACCGAACGTAATCCTGCGACCCCGTATGGATGGCATCCCTGTGCCACACTTCCGGAAGGCCAGCAAGACGAAGAGACCTCGTTCGGAGCCTGTTCCTGAGGATTCCCCGGCCGTGCCGAAGAGGACAGCTGCAGGCGTGTTGATCAAGAAGATGCCGATCAAGGTCAAGCTTGAGCCTGAAGACGAGGCGAAGGCCAAGGCTGTTGGACCGAAGCCGGTGCTGTCGAAGAAGATGCCTGAGAGGAAGCCACCGGCGCCGCCGCCGGTGCCAGTTGCGGCCGCGGCTCGAGCACGGTCACCGTCGGCAAGCTCAAGCTCCAGCTCTTTGCCAGTGAGGAGGATCGAGTCGGTGCGGGTGCCGAGGCAGCGGAGCTCGAGCTTGTGTGGTCCTGACGGTCCTGATCTACCAGCGATGGCGGCTCCGTGGTCAGAGTCGGTGCCAATGCTGCCGAGGCCACCGGCTGGGCCGGCACTTGAGATTATTGAGACACGTGAGCTGGTGACCTGCGAGTGCTGCGGTATGAGATTTAGTTTGGAAGAGCTAGAGATGGCCTTGGTCTGGGAGGATGCTTAGGCGATACTTCTAAATAAAACTCACTGTACAATATAATGCAGTGCCTACTTGAATAATGATTACTGATACTAGTAACTTGTATTACTTAGCTATTTGCGATTATTGTTATGGTCATGATAACTTTGTTGTTCTAAGAATATGACTTAGACTAAAGGAATAAGAATAAGAATAAGAATAAGAATAAACATATGATAACATGATATAGGAACAACAACAAGACTAATAGTAATAGCACTAGTACTAGCAATAGTACTAGTGACGGCAATAGCAAGAGTAATGGCAATAGTACTAGTAATTGTAATAGTTAGCAAGACCAATAAAAAAACAACAACAGCAGCAGCAGCAACAACAACAACAACAAATGCAACAGTAGCACCACCAGCGCCAGAACACACAAGTGCACCCACGAGCGGCTCCGCAACCACTACACAGCACAACCCCAGCTGCTGATATTGCTACAACTACTAGTACTACTACGACTACAACTACGACTACTACGACTACTACACTACTACCACTACTACTGCTACTACTACTACTACTACTACTCCTACTACTGCTGCTACTACTACTACTACTACTACTACTACCACTACTGCTGCTGCAGGTGCTACTAGTACTAGACACTTCGCGACTTAAGTGCTGGGACTGCCGCTGTTCGATAGAGTCCGCCCAGGGTCCAGACTACCGGAATTGCCATTCGGTGCAGAGTTGCCTTGTTTCACATGCATAGCAGCGAGCAGCGAGCTGAAGCTGGAAAGAACACAGCTCGGGGGTTACCGGGGGTTCTTTGACTCCGAATTGGGGCATTCCAACTGTTGCTGCTGTTTTGGGGTGAACATAGGTGATTCAGGGCAATTCAGGGTGACTTTGGGCACAAACCCGAGCCAATGTAAAATCCTTTTTTCTGAGCTGAGAACCCCAGGGCCTTTGTGCATGGGCACGGTGGGCCCCCACGAGGGTTCCACGAAGGTTTCCAGCCACGAAGGTTGCACGAAGCCCCACGAACCCCCTCGAAGATCCCACGAAGCCCCACGAAGGTTCCACGAAGGTCCACGAAGCCCCACGAAGCCCCACGAAGCCCCACGAAGCCCCACGAAGGCCCACGAAGCCCCACGAAGCCCCACGATTGTGACCCTCATATAGGAATCCTGGTTGGAATGGCCCCTTTTGGAAATTCCACCAAATCCCCAAAGTACCCTGCCTGCAGGATTTATGGGGCCTTCAGCTCCTTCCACGCAGTGGCGGAACAGCTCACGGTGGAGGCCTCCGGTTCGTGCGCCACAAAGCCATTCTGTCATGGGTTCAGCGGTTGCAGCCGGGGATCGATTGGGCGGAGCCTGATGCCACTTTTTGCAGCCTGGGGTTTGTAGCCTGAGCTTGAGCCTGAGCTGCCTGAGCTTTTGTGTTAGTTTGCTGCGGCCAGGTTCTCGCCTGAAGCGTTCAACGTCCTCAAAGTCTCCAGGTCATGCCCATATGTGAACTCAGATGTGAGCAGTGGAAAAAGTTTCGCATAGTCCGCATCGCATAGTAGGTTTCAGCAGCACATCACATCTTGCGTTTGCCGTTTGCGAGGACTACAGGACGTTGCCGTTGTCCGTTGTCGGCCGTTGTTGTGCATTGAAGTGCATTGGCATAAGGCATAGAGCGTGGCTTGAAAGTTTTGAAAGCATTGACTTGTGACAGGTGTGTTGTGACCGACATGTTGAGGACTGGCTCCTGGCTTTATCCAAAGTTGCGCATTGAGTGCATTGACGCCTTGGCCTCGGCTCGTGAGTATTCGGTATTCGCTTCTTGAGTCTTGAGTCGTGGCAATGACGGGTTGCGCAGCTGAGCCGCTGCTTCTGCCGTGTGCCCCATTGTGTTGGATTGTGTATACATTGTTGCAATCGACTGCTTGTTCTGAGGCGTGTATCTTACAGCATGGTATAGCAGTATAGCATGGCAAATTGTCGAACAATGTGAACATTGACTGTGTCCATGCATTGTCGCGGAGGTCATTGCTTTGTCGTGGTGTTGTGATGACAGGTGACACGGCTTGGCATGAGTCGGATTTCTTGTCGTGGTGGCACGGCAGGTGAAAGTGATCACACTGATACTTGGTAGTAGTTGACACAAGAAACATGCTGTTGTTGAGATTGTCCTGACCAGTTGTTACAAGCTTGGCTTGCGTGTTGCATTGTGCATTGGGCATTGTTTGCTTCGCTCGGCTCGGTGCTTCCTTGACTTGTCGACTTGCATGGGTACAGCTTGCTTGGCTTGGTGCTTGCGTTGGCTTGAAGACCGGAAGGTATTCTGCAGTGGCAGGCGTGCAGCAGCTTTGGTCGAGGAGTCGAGGATGGATGCGGTCGACACTGTGCATTGATGCTGCTTTGGCTTGATCAGTTGCTTGGTGCACTGTTGATTGGGATGTTTTGCTTGCTTGCAGCAGGGTGGAACTGGTAACACACATGTGATATGTCCCTGAAGTTCTGATTCGTGCTCAGGCCTAGGCAGCTTCCGTGGAACTCCACCTTCGGGCCTCCGGGCTGGTAGTGACTTGCCAGCTTCAGGATGGGGGATGCAGTGACTCCGATGACTGTCGACGACTTCTCGGACGGTGAGGTCCCGCCGCCTCCTGCGCCCTTTGCTGGTACTCCGCCCAGAAGAAGGAGGGCCAAGGACAAGGCGAAGCCTGCTCCGAGGCTCCAGGCCATCAGGGATGCATTGTCCAACGCTGGGCAGACGACCTCTTGCTTGGTATGTGATTGCCAGACATATCCGAAATCGAAGTTTTGCAAGGAGCACAAGCGAGAGGCGGAGGCCTGTCGCAAAGACGCCGAGGATCAAGGCGAGCTCGAGTATTACAACCAACAAGCATCAAACAAGGAGTCTTTTCGGAAAATGATCCTGGAGTATATGGATAAGAGCCCGAGCAGGGGCCCAGGGGCCAAACGCAACCGTTTCGATTGGACTACCTACAGGGAGAAAACATATTCCGGGAAGGCCGTCCGCAAAGGACAAAAAGAAGTGCCACTGCATTACGAGACTTGGTCGGCTTATTCAATTTTTCTGGTTGTGTTGCAGATCATCTTTGCAGTGTTGAGGCTGAAGACTAGGTTTCTCTTCTCTTTCAAGATTGCAGAGACTATAGTCTGACCGTGTGCATTGCCATTTCATGCGAGGGCGAATCCAGGGCGAAGGGGGGAAGTTTTATCATCGCTTATTCCAAGCCTGAACTCTGAGCCGAGTGCCGGGGCTCTGAGTCCGGAACCAAGGAGAAGTTCATGAAGTTCCAGCAGGAGGACCGAGGCCTGTCGTGGCAGGATGCCGACAAGCTTTGGGAAGATTACAAGGCAGATCCAGACCACGAGCGGGACGAACTGGGACCTCCTCAAAGCCAATTACGTCTTTACACTGCGGTTGAAGACTACCTGATCCGGGAGACGGTGAGCGGCTTCCAGCGTGAGAGAGTGTCAGGAGTCAAAGATGTGAAGAATCCGACTGAGAAGCAGGCCAAGGAGTTGGATGATCGTTTGGCCGAGCCGTTGCCAGGGTTTGAAGAGCTGCAGCTTGAGCATCACAGCGGCAAGACCAAGTCGCAATTTTTGCAGTCAGGCCCAGTTGTTGCTGTACCGATGCACGGAAGACCGAGTGCCGGCCGCATCCAGCCCGGTACGGGGAAGGCGGGGAAGAAGGACAAGGAGATGGGTCGTCGCCGGGCAAAAGCCTATGACGAGGTGCTCAAGAAAGTTCGCGAGGCTGAGGTCCGGTTGCCCAGGACCCTTAAGCAGGCCGAGCAGAACTTCGAGCATTTCCAAGTGAACAACTCGGTGGACGACTACGAGCACTTCATCCGCTTGGTCGATGTCCGCATCCGGGTCTTGAAGTGGTTGGTGGAGACTACGGACGAAGCTCAGTTTCAGCAGCGGCTTGAGGGGTTGGGTGATAGCGAGCGGAGCTTGTTGCCTGTCGACACGAAGTTCCTTCACTTGCCGAAGCACATCACCAACCATTGCCAGCAGATCCTGGGTATGGACACAGACGACAAGATCGACGAGCTGAAGGAGTACGGCATCGCCTCATCCCAATTGCTAGCTTCTTGGCTCGACTTGGCACCTTAGCCATAGGGCCATAACCCATCGTCCTCAAAGTTCTACAAGCCATGTAAATGTAGCACGAATTACTACCAGAACCTAAAACCTTAGAGTGGTTCAAAAAAACCATGTTTAGTCGACAACATCGTCTTCCTGCAGTGCACAGATTGGGAGTGTCAGAGGATTCGCCAAGGCCCCAGGCTCTGTAATTGGGTGAGCTCAGCAGAAAATCACTGATTATGTAACTCTTTCACAAAGCATCCTCTTCGAGCTTGCAATCTTCATCCCAAGTCAAGAGCCTAGTTTCATCGTAGGTGATGGTACAAGTGATTTCAAGGTCACTCTTGGGAAGTGTTGTGCTAGCAGTTGTGTGTGGACATTGCATGTTGTGTTTTTTTCGTTTGTTGTGGATGGCTGAGCAGAGCAGAACACTGTGGTTTGTGACTCGTCGCAGGAATGCGTATCATCTGATCACCCGAGGCCCAGCTGGCAACAGGAACAGAGCGTGGCGTGTCGGATTTGCAGGCGGCCAAGGTGTCCAGAGAGAAGAACGAAGCGAGAATGGCCAAAGCGGATGCAAAGAAAGCACAGTTGCAAAAGAGGAAGGAAGAGAACCAGGCCAAGACAGCGGAGCAGAAGGCAGAGGAGGCTGCCCGTGCGAAGCGGGCAAAAATGCCGAACCGTCTCGACAAACTGCCTACTACTTCTCTCAAGGACGTCATGGGTGTCGGGCAGGGTGCATTCGAGCATTTGGACGGGACGAAGCCCTTCGTGATCCGTGCTGCGTTGAAGCTGTCGCCGAAGCTGCTAGCCCTCACGAAGGAGAAGGGTTTTGAAGCGGCTCACAAGGCCTTCATGCAAACGTACCATACGACCACAGCCGCCAAGGGTACCGGTCGAGCTCAGTGCGGATTGAAACCGGTGGAGCTCATGGACCAAGCCAGAGAAGCCCTCCGGGAGTTTGTGCCGTTCAGAAGTAATGTCGTCACAACCGAGCACATCCCTAACCTGGACATGGTGTCGATGTTCGGGTTCCTGGCGGGGATGTACTTTGTGTCTTCGGAGTACGAGGGAACAGGCCAGCTCCGGTACATCCTAGGAGGTACGAAAGACACATATGCGTGCAGCCTCAAAGACATCCAGGCCGCCATGCTGAATCTAGGGCTCGAGAAAGACGGCAAAAAGTCATCGGATGCGGACGTCTACAAGTTTTACAGGCACCTCACTGAGGAACAGGCCGGGGCTTTTGTGGGGTCTTTAGTATACTTGAAGCTGTCAAGCTGGGCTAAGGCAACAGTTGAGGGTAGAATTGTGGGGGGTGCAAAGCTCAATTAGCGAGGGAACTTAGGAGCCTTTCTGGGGGAGCTTGCATGGGTGGCTGGGTGGACGGTGGTGTTCTGCGATGCGCTGCCGTGTGTGGTCGTGGGGTGGGGACTGTTGTGTAGAACAGATCTAAACTGTGCGGATCCTCCAACAATGCACCCCTGATTTTCAGGTGTCGAAGAGCGGCCTCACCGTGTACAAGGTGGCTGTGCGCCAGGGAGATGCATACTACCTGCCTTCCGGGTGGGTGATGGGAGACATCTGTGGTGACGAGGCGTGCATTGGCCTTCGTTTGACGACCATTTCAGACCGCGACATTGTCCAGGAGAAGAACGTGGAAGCGATGATCGAAATTCAGGATCAGGCGAATTCCAAGCACCTGGGGAACATGAAGAAGATCGTCGAAGTCTTGAACAAGCACAGCAACGGAGCCTGAGCCCTCATTCAGGTATCATCTTCAGGCTGCTTCAGGAAGATTTTTGCCCAGGCATTATCCTGTTCTGTTGCATTCGGCACTTCCCGCCAGCACAGTGTCATGACCCTTCGTCAAGCTTTTAGGGTCCTCTTTTCCACGGGAAGCGTTCGCTGCTGTTGGCAGTGACTGCCGGATGTCTCTCAGCAGACCTTTGCGACCTTTCTGAAGCCACTTCTTTCAAAATTTCAAATTTCCAAAACAGCAGACTGTCACCATTGAAAGCAAGAACGAGATTGCAGGGCACGAGCTTGATTCCGTGTGTGCGTGCGAGCTCCTTGTCATATGGGGTATCATGCAGACCAACCAGGTATTCTCATGGACACTTGATGTTGCAGACAGCCAGGACATTGCGTGGTGTTCTCTAAGTGTCGCTGTGCGTGCAGGTCCATTCCCCATCGAGTTCATCGGACTTGGTGGTTGCTCGTTTGCTTGATCGGCTTGGCCCATGGTGACTTCGATAATCATGCACTTGACCACTGTTGGTGCTTGGCACTGCGATGAGATGAGATGGACTCTTGTGTTGATTGCTTGGCTTGGCTGCATCGCTTTCATGTGTTGCTCATCGCTGTTCTTGTACATCACACTGGGCTTGCTCCAACGGTGATGAAAATGTGTGGTGCATCTTGCGGCCGGGGCCTCAGACTCAGACCTCATCATTGAGCGATCCACTTGAATCTGCCTCTGCGCTTGACCTCAGTTTTTGGTTCGGGTCCTCGGGTAGCTCGACTCACCTCGACTCTTGTGTCAGTGACGGCCACAGGATGCCAGTCAAGCGAATGCCGGCGAGACATGACGGCAGCCTCCCAGAGGGTCCTCGCACAGTACAGGAGATGTTGGACTGGCCAACGAGGGCAATAGCTGCTATGCGTGACATTGGTCAATTCGACACCTGGTTGAGCAATCTCCGTGGTGGGTTGATCGTGGGGACTCATTTCTCAGGTCTCCTGACTGCAGAACTGGCTTTGGAGCAACTGGTACATGCAACCGCAGACGTTCTTGAAAGAAACGGCCAAACTTCGGAGTCGGAGCAGCTGCATGGGAGACTTATGAGTTCCTGGACTTGTGACAAACTTCAGGAGAGTCGCGACTTCGCAATGTCATGGCCGAAGTCGAGATACTGGCACGATGCTGGTGGGTGCTGCTTCGGCGACATCTTCGACAGCTCCACAGATGAGATGGTTGAGAAGTTCAACTTTGTTGATCGTGCCAAGGAGGAGGGCCGGGGTCGACATGCTGTGCAGGACACGCAGACGTACATGTTTCGCCACGTTCGTGAGATCGTCGAGGAGTCAGCATGCTTTCGGCACAGGAAGTTCTGCAAGTCGCTTGGCTATAGAGAGCATTAACTTGGGGTCGTGTGCTTAGGCAGGAGTAATAGGAGTAAGATATGCTGGGTGTGCTGTGAATGACATTCCTACTGCTCTTATTCTGTTGCCCAAGGTCGCATGAGTACACCCCTCCGGAAGATTTCCACGACCCTGTGACCATTGAGGTGGCAGGAACTCCATGTGTTGGTTGGTCCATCTTGGGAAAGCGTGAAGGTGTCCTTCATGACAGTCACCTCGCCTTCCTGGCGTGGGCGGCAAAGACGAGACTTGCGTCGCCTATGATCATCGTCCACGAGTGTACAGCTGCCTTCCCAGTGAGCCTCCTTGAGTACTGGTTCGACGACATGTATGAGTTGTACTCCATGATATTGGATCCCCTGTGGATGGGTCACTCAACCCAGCGACCCAACCGTCGCTTCACATGGCTCATTCGCAAGGATTGCCGATTCACAGGCAGTGCGGACGAGTTCAATGAGATGTTCGCAGCACGGACAACGATGTTGGCAGATGCATTTTACTGTGCACCCAGCGATGTTCTTCAAGAAGGCCTGAACGTAATTGCCCTGTCCCGTGGGTTCGCGCCTCAGGAAGTATCGAGGGTCAAAGATTGGTCGATCTACTACCCTCCCGGCACTCGTGAGCGAATGGATGGCCACCTGAGGATGTGGATGAAGAAGCGATCGCCGGACATGTTGGACTCACCGCGAATCCGAGCTCGAAGGAAGGTTTCAGCTGAGGCATTGAACATGAAGTACATCAAGCATTACCCCATCATCGCGGACTTGGATCAGAATCCGGGCTATGGGCCCACAGCGTCCTTGCAATGCCCAACATTGGTGAGCCATGGCACCCTGCACAATTTCTTCCGAAAGCGCTGCATGGTTGGAGAAGAGCACCTGCTCAGCATGGGTTTTCCTATCTTCGACGAGGACTGTTTCTTGAAGTCTGTCGTGGGCAATGTCATGAGCAAGCGCATGATGAAGCAGATGGCTGGCAACGCGATGTACTTGCCGTTGATTGGCATCCAGCTTCTCTATCTCATCAGCCACCTGCACAAGACGAACGGCGACAACGGTTGCAAGCTCAGGCGAATGGGTCGCCTGGCCAGCAACTTGTCGTTCAGCTCCGGGGGGGGCATGGGCTCGCCCGGTCACTCTTCGACTACTTGGACGACTCCTGAGAAGTCTAGGTCAAGTCGTGATCTGTGAGTGTCGCGATGCGAGAGTGTAGAAGCTCAGCCAGTGTAGCAGTGTAGCCACGTTTCATGTCTCTTAAAGAAGTTTGAACATGGCTGCAGTTTTGGATTGGAGGCGGTTGCAAAGATGCAAAAAAAGGCGTTGCAGTGGGCTTCTGCGGCATTGGTCTAGCCAGTCAGGTGTTGCACGAAAATCGCTTGGAGCACCTACCTTGTCGGCAGCTTGTCGGGCACCGGGCATTGCACCCAGTTGACCAGTTGTGACATTGACAGTGCGTGCCATTTCCTTTGTTGCAGTCTCGCCATGTGTGCAGGCTTGTGGCAGCATCCTTGCTACTGGCATGATTGGCAACTTGTGGACTTATGTGGTTGCTACATTGCTTGCTTGATTTGGTCGACACAGGGTGCTCTCATTACGTGCCGCTATGTTGCTGGACACTGCTTGTTTGATTTGGTGAACACTGGGATTATTTTCATTATGTTGCTGGACAGTGGACATTGGTCGCTGTTCGCTATGGCCCGTTGTTGACCTTGTCGGAACATGATGACACACCGTGACCATACCAACATACAGAGCCAGAAGAATATGGCAGTATGCCGTGATGGCTGTCAGCTTCACGGACAAGTCTGAGGATCTTTTACTTGCGGTTTGGTTGAGCGTTTTTTTCTTGGATCGTCTTGCTCGGCTCCTATACTACTGAAGTGAGGTCCTGTACTTCATGATCATGATGATGACAATGCGAGTTGGGTGCAAAAGTTGTGCCGGATGCTGTTTTCTGTTTGGGTCTTCATTAACTTCAGTATCAACAGTTACAGCGTTTAGGAGTCTCCGGTTCAGATTTCTGCTTATAATGTCGCGAATTGAGGCCTTTAGCCCCCAAAGTCCACATCGGCACACCTTTGCAAGACTGGTTCCAACAAGCAGCAACACCCGGGTTATGGGAACAGGGGAATTTGGTCATCCGTGTTCTGATAGTTGGATACATCTCCTTAACGGCCAGAACGGCTGGCAGCAGTCATCTGTGCCAAAGCTTCGGGCTGGCCGCCCGTTTACCCATCCCAGATAGGCCCCCGGTAGGAATGGCCACACCAGCAGACGCTTCAAACAAAAGAGAAGTGCACCTTACCGCTGCACCTTACCTCTTGAACTAATTAGAGTGCGGGGGGTACACGCCACAATCCTTTCGCGAACCTCAAAGTGGAGTGCCCGCAGCAGGCACACGGCTTGCGGGGCCGTTAGTTACAGCATGTTTTTGCAAGCCCTCATGCACGCGCTTTTCGAGCGACGCGCTCTGCAAATGGGTGGTGGTTGACGCCTTTGCTAGCAAACATACACCCCACACGGGGGCACCCAAGACGGCACCAGTTCTTTCCAAGTACAGCCGAGCCCCTCCACTGCAAATCGTGGATGGGGATGCGCACATGCGCAGGGCAGGGGGACCGCCCCTGCTCCTTTCCCCGGAGCAAAGCAAAGCAAGGAGAGAAAGCGAGAGCCAGCCCTGGAAACACAAGAGCTCATGTTTCACACACTCGCAAAGCTAAAAGCAATGTGTGCTGGCGTTACCAGACAAGTTGATGTCCGCCCGAGCATGGCATCATTTCAGACGAGACGGGCAAACATGTCGTCTTCAAATGCCCTACTCACAGGTTAGTCACAGGTTCGTCATAATAGCCGAAGTAACCGAGAGTACGTGTCGAGAGCTGTTGATGCAGCAAGGTTCCAAGCTGGCGTGACGAACCCAGAGTCGTATGGCCTGATCCAGAGGAGCTTTATCGGTTCTTCCGTGGCCCAGGATCAAGCTGTTTGGCGTATGGGGTCTTTGGCTCTTTACAGTGCCACAGACCCAGGAGAGGTAGACTCTAAGTTTGTGTCACTCCGCTCTTTTTAATTTGCTTGCGACCTGCTTCGGGCATCCGTCTCGGTGACGCGGACTTGTTCAGGCCGGCCCTGCGTGCACGAAAGCCTGGTGGTCCGTGGGGGATGGGCTACGAGGCGCGCGATGGCTGACAAAATCGCATGATTGGTCACTGCTGATGTATCAGATTTTTGGTAGTGCTTGGTTTTGCCTCGTAGAGCGGCGCAGGAGAAGCGGGCACTGGACATCTCCTTCCTTGCACGGTCCTCGAAGATGATATCCTTGAAAGCACGGGCTGATGCAAAGCATGCTGAGGTGTTGCCCTTCGTCTCGGACTTAGATTTGCAACACAGCTGGCGCATGCTGCTGCTGGATAGGGCTTCGTACCAAGGTCTGCATATTCGCGCCTGTTCTCTTCAAGGACGTCGTAGCTTTATGCGTTCAGGTCCCGCATCCTTTCGTCAACTAGTGAGTGGAAATGGAGGATGCAGCAGCGACCTACTGGCTGTCCCTGCTTACTTTGGTTGGGCTCTACGGGCTGCTAGACTGCATTGCCAATGGCCTGCAGTGAAGATCTGAGGGTGTTGTACATGCAGGTGGAGCTTCAACACGCCCTTAGAAGATGAGAGCAAGATCCAGCGTGGAGCAGGGCAGGACTTCCCGTATCCGAAGACCGAAGATTCGTGCCTAGCGCAATGCTCTCGCGTTGTTATGGCTGGGCTTCTCAGGACCTGAACTTGCCGGAGCCTGTGATGTGGGCAATCAAGGTGCCGGGCCGAGAAGTAAAAACTGGCCGATTGAATTGTAAAGAAGCATCCCTTGGGAGAGAGACGTCCATGTGTTTCTACTCTTGGACTCGAGGCCCTGGACTTCGGCACGGGCTCCGAGAGAGGTGCACGCTCAGAAGACAAATCGTGGCAGGCTCGTGCAGGGAAGTCCGTGAACAGGAGCTTTTCTCAGGGAGCCGCGGGGGTGCCGGTTGGAAGGATCAGCTGGCAGCGTATGAGAAGGCTGCCGAGGAGCTGGCTGCAACAAAAGCAGACAGGAGCCCGCGATGGTTTTGCTGCCATGAGTGCCTGGGGCCGTGACAGCGTGCGACTTGTCATGCAAGGATGGCTGAAAGCCCGAAGTGAGGGCAATGTGTGACATCGCGTGACCCTTGTGCAGACGGACCAGCTAGGGCTGTTGTTGCCAAGCTGACCTTGAGCCGCGCTGGACCCACGCGCCATCTGGGTGCTCATCCTAGGAGGAAGATTTTCTGAGTGCAATTTTCTGTCTTGCCTGCCAAGTTAGCAAGGCACAGGGCAAAAGATCTTGTTGCACAGCAGCTGAGCACAGAGCAGCGGAGTAGCATGCTGGAGTGCCGGATAACTTCAATGTTGAAGTCAGCATTTTTCCTGTTTCCAAGCTGAATCGGACCAGAGCTGGGAGTCTAGAAGCCAAGCCTGGTCGTGGCTACGTTCTCCAGGCAAAGACGGCTTGAAACACTGAGACTTTGCCATGCCCCTCAGCCTGTGTGATCCGAGGTCATGTTCGGAGATGAATGCTGATGTTTGTTCCACAAATTCCGCACTCGTTTGGGGAGGTGCCGGGGAAGGCAAGCTGCCTTTTGAATTGGTGGTTTATGATAAACGCAGTGCGTCCTTGTGCCATCTAGCCGGGCGTTTGAACTGCGAGGCTTCTACTGCCGGACGGGTGTATGATGAACCCGAGGCATACGACGAGTGGTCTCAAGGCAGGGATTCCCTAGCGAAGCTGTGCCGTGTCATGTCGTTTGCGAAGCACCAGTCCGGCACGGAGCTGCCTTTCACATCTTCTGAGAGGCCGTGGACGTTTCTCGGACGGACTTCCTTCCGTAGGCCGGCGTCGAAGCGTCAAAGGCGTCCAAGGTCACTTGTGTGCTTGTCGGTTGAGTGCAGGCTCGAGAGAGCACGCGCTTGGGACTTGCCGCCCATGTGCATGGCTGTGGAAGCCTGGTGGGTGTCGAAATGCCGTCAATTGTACGCACTGCCACCTGTGTACTCCAGCATCTCAGCCGAATCTGGCACCACGACCTCAGACATCCTAGAACCCCGGGTAGGATTCGTACTTAGTTGGAAATGTCACAGTGCAAGCCAAGGATGATGCCAAGAAGCGGCGGAGGGATTATGGCAAGGGTGGCGAGCCTCCTGCCAAAGCCCAACCACCGCAGCGAGAGCGAGGGAAGAGGACGAGATTCTCTGTTGACCACGAAGCTGAGTGTTGTGCCAATGCCGTGTTTGTGCGAAGGAGGCAGGAATGGACTTGGCAGGCAGAGGAGCAAGCCGCTCCATGGATAGAGAATTCGAAACCAATTCCCCCGCCTCCCACGACACCGTCTCCGGTGGATGCCGTGTCTCGTGCTCAGTTGAGAACAGGCAGTCATGCGACGAAGCTTTGGTCGACGGACCGATGGATCTTTGAGGTGCGGGCCGGCCGCCCCTCCTCCCGGCACGGGCCACAATGGTCCCGCGCCGGAGGAAGAAGCGAGGCAGTTGCTTGGATCGAGTCATATCGAGTCTGCGGAGTCTGTTTAGGCGATGTGAGGGTCCTGAGTCTTCCCCGAAAGACTCGGAGTGCCAGTTCAACCCACCCGTGCGGTGCCGTTGGGAGTTGGGGGGAGCAGGGCCAGGATACGGTTGAGGAGAACGAGTCGACATGGATCGGGCCAGCTTGGCTCCTTCCTAACGTGTCAGTCTCGTGCAGACAATACCTACGGATGCCACAGGGTGGCAGCAAGTCGTTATGAATTGAGTGGATAGCCATGAATTATGAATTCATTTTCAGGGCCGACCATGGTCAGGGGCAAGCAACCGTCATTGCATCGAACATGAAATCCACCTGGCGCTCGTATTACTAGTCCGAGCTGAGGATGGGCAGCTGGTCCCGTGGATCCGAGCGCCACGGCGCGGGGAGTTGCAGGCCACCGTGGGACCGTGAACAGGAGTCGGCTGTCCCAAGGCACTTGAGGCTGGAGATTCCAGTTCCTGTGGTCAGCAGGCCTTGCCTCTTCCAATGGACTGCGTCCGGGTGCAAAGACGGGCAGGACTGCTGCTCTGCTGAAGAGCCATCACTCCGTCACTTCATGCCATGCAGTCCAAGCTTGATGTCCTCCGCCACGCTTCCTTCTTGATGCCTCATTTTCGAATGCCTACTATAAGGTGACTTTTGTCATCTATGCCCTCCACCGAAGGACTTCTGTTGCAGAAGTTATTGTCTTGTCTCAAGCTGTTCTGGGCAGTGCTTGATTTACGACGTTGCGGCATCTGTCCATGCTTCATCCGACCCACGTCAGAGCGCAGGTTCCTGTACCCCATCCCGTGCCATCGATGCCTCCAGCATCCTTACCGGGACCGCTTCCTGCGTTGCCAGAGTGGTGCCACGGCTTGCAAAGTGGCTCTTCAGAGACTTCCAGACTGCCGGCCGCGTTGCGAGCCTTCCCGACGCCGTACCAAGGCAACAAGTCAATGCACCAGCAGGCCGGATGGGGGTGTGTTTGGGTGATTGAACAGCGCTGCGGCTCCCGTAGTGCTTGAGGCTTCAGAAGTACCGAGCCTGGCCATCGGTCAGAAGCGCACTACATCAATCTGGCCGAACGTCTCGTGCCAGAGAACCAGGCAACTCGTGCAGCTTGATGCCCGTTTTAAGAAATGCATCGGTTCCACATGCCAGGCGCAGGGGGCCCAAACAATGACACCGGGGATGATCTCGAGCTCTGTCGTGCTGGGCACCGCACCATATCCGAATCCCCAGCCGATGCAGCCACCTCAACAATACAGGACGCATTGCACATGGTCTGCCCATAAACCTGCTCGCAGTGATCTTATCTCCTGATTCCCACGATTGCTTTGGAGCAGGACTGCTCCAGCTTGGCAGCCGGTTCCTTCAAAGATGAAGGAATTCCGATCTGTACAGTCGCCGATGCCCATGGGTGTCGGAAGCCTAGACTTACTTCACAACCCAGGAAGTTTGTTTTCGGGAGGGAGGGTGGCAGGCAACTCAGGTGGCGAATCTCCCGGAACATGCAATCCGGCATTTTGGCCTTCAGAACAGCTGCGCGTCTTCCAAGGTGGTCGATGGGCCACCCTGCCTCGACTGTGGCAACCAGACGCATTGTGTCTGTCTTCCAGGCTCGTGAGAAGGGAACACGTCGGCGGTCCCTGGTGACTGGTGGCTGAGTGCAATCGCAGGCGATGTTGGCTTCTCCGAGCGAGATCCGAGTATGCATTCGCGCCTGCCCCCCGTGCGGAGTCGCTGCCCAAGTCACGGAAGTGGGCACGCAGTCCAGTCCTTCCCCGCCGCCTTGCCTGGGCGATGCTGCGAGACTGGTCGTTCTTGCTCATACGCACTCAGCCCTGCTGCACTCACCCTGCTACCTGGCCATCCGGCTGCCCACCCACCCACCCGCCCACCCAGCTACTCACCCGCCCACCCGGCATGCCCACCGACCCCACCTGCGTGATTTAGATGTGTGGACGGGACTGCCACCCTGAGCCGGCCTTGAGTTGGGGGGTTTCAGCACAAATAGCCTTGGATCCTGGCGCATGTTACAGACAGATGCTGCATGATACCACTCCGCCGTTGCTGCTGCTGCTGCTGCTGCTGCTCATGGTGACTATGCCGAGCAGCGGCCCGCAGAGGTCGTAGCATTGCAAGCTTCGTGCTCCTCAGTAATAGTATTTCCTGGCTTTGATTGCGCTTACCTGGCTTTCGCCTGCCTGGCTTGAAGATGCGAAGTGCGTTTCTGGGCTTTGAATGGCTTCGGCTTCGTAAGCTTTGAGCGCTGAGGACCCGAGCCAGGGTTAATCGAGATCGCGCGCGAAGAGAGCGGCGATGTTGGGACTTCCGGCCAGATCCCAAACCTCTTTCGAGAATATACATGCTAGCCAGGAGAAGCTCTCGTTTCTGATAATGGTTCCCCTTCTTGACTCGCAAGTAGATGAGGCGACGCTGATCTTGAACGGTCACTCCAGCACCTCATGCAGAGTGGGGACAGCGCCATCCGCAGCTCAAGCAGTGCAGGTGCTTCAAGTTGCTCCCGTGAAACATCTGACAAGCAAGAACAGCGAGCGACAGTCACCTTCTGTAAGCGCCTGTCGAACTTCTCATGTTCCGACCAGTGTCTTGTCAGAGTAAGTTAGGCGACAGGCACGAGTGCGAGCCAGCGTGCACTGGACAGTCTGTGCAGGGCAGCACTTGTCTCCTGGCCAAGTGGCGCACATCAATGGGAACTGTGGTTTGCTTAGAGCAGTCTGGAGAAGCGTTCATAATGCAGTTGCAGTCCTTTGTTTGCGGCGGGGAGCTGAGGTACCCCGTGTGTCGAGCTCATGCAATCGGCAACCTGCAGTGCTGGGCAAGACTGCTCATACTGCCATGTTTGTCTAGAGCCTGGGCCTGCGCCAACTGCGTCGCCTGCGCCTGCGCCCGAGTGGCAAGGGCCTGAGCCGCGAAGAAAAAGAAATCAGATTCAGAACAAGGTTCTGAAAAAGAAGGGCGGTGAGGGCTGAGCAATTGTTTCGAGAGGTGTGTCTGTTGGTGAAGGTTTCAAACTCTAGGCGCCAGGCGGTATGGCGCACAGAAGCTTCTTGCCACTGCTTGAATCAGCAAGTGCTCAGCCATTCTTCTGCCCGTATGGGTAAGACTCGAAACGGGTCAAGCGATCACCCTGACCCTCATTAGTAGCTGAGAGCTTGTTTCCAGTGTGGAAGAGATGGCTCTACATAGCAAACAGAATCACCAGCCTTGCCGCCTTGCCGCCTTGCCGCCTTGCCGACCGAATTCTACGCTTTTTTGTGCTCATTAGTTCTTCAAAGCTTGAGCTGCTACTAGTCGGCAAGACTGGGCATCGGAAGCTTCGAGACTTTCTTAGTCCGGTCGGCTGCCCAGGGAGCAGTCGGTCCGTCTAGCACTATCAGTTGCATATCGTAGGGTGTGGGCTCCGGTGCTGCGGTCGGGCTTCTTTGTAGGATGTTTACGTAGCAAGTGGCCCGGATGCATTGCAGTTTGCCTCAGGCTAAATGCTGTATGCCATGCACATAAGCTACCCGGACAGTAGTAGTGGGTTTCACTCGCTGCATGTGCATCGGTGCCGTGCCGTCAGCCAGGTTTGTGCCCTGCCTTTGCAGTACAAAGCAGTATCGCATGAGGCAGCAGTGCAAAATGGCACTAAAGTGTGGCGGTTGGATTGGCCTGCGACGATCTCCCCGTGGCGTAGGCGTTCTTGTCAGCATGCGTTTCCTTGTGTTGAGATTGTGACAACTAGGATCAAGAGTTGAGTTTTGCTTGCTGCCGTACGTGGAGGAGTTGCAAAGCCTGCGTCAACCGGCTGCGATGCATCTTCGTAGTGAGTGCGATCAGGTGTTCTTCACATCATGCCCCGGCCTTGTGCCGGGGATGTGACATCAAACATCGAACCGTGATGGACTCCAAGCTCCTTTCACGAACATTCGTGGAAGTGTGGTGTTGGTGCCTCCGATCAAACTGAGGGCGTGGCCGTTTCCATCGTTCAAACCCTTCTCTGTTAGCATGGCCGTTTCTGAAACTGGAGATGTCTGGACGCCAATGTATGCAAAAAAGCAGCTAAAGGTAGAGGCAGCTCTGATGAAAGCGAAGCACTCTGCCCGGCATGCACCTGTCGAAGACGTCTTTGTTCGTTCTATGCGGCTCAAGAGGTAGGAGCTGCTCCTGCCCTCATGGTTGTCCTGACATGTGTTTGAAGGCCGGACTCCTGACTCTCAACCGCATTTTCCCACTCCAACGCAGAGGGTTTGCTGCTTTAACTGCAGGAGAAGAAAAAGCAGCACGGGCCTCGGCTTCTGGCCACTACGTCGCAACTACTCTACTAGTGTACAGAGCTGAGGCAGGAAGTTGAGGTTCCTGCCGAAGACAGTGCCAGGACTCCAGGGCCCTTTGACTCCGAACGCCATACCACTCTTTCCGCTTGCAGGAGAACAGCGTCATCCTTTTGTATGGGTGTGTGCAAGACGGAAGAATCACCGATGCCATCACCCGAGTGCTATGAAGCCGAAGCAGCTTCTGAAGAGGAGTCCGTCCTGCCCCAGTTGCCCTCTGTGGGCTCAGCACATCATAAGTTGGGCAGCTGCCAACCTTGTGCTTGGTTTTGGAAGCCACAGGGGTGCCTGAATGGAGCTGCATGCTTGCGATGCCACTTGTGCCCAGCTGGAGAGATCAAGCGGCGCAAAGGCGAGCTGAAGCAGAAGAAAGCACAAGCAGCCGAAGCTGCCAGCGTAGACGACCCAGCCACCCAGTTGTGTGACGGCGGTCCCACCGTGCCACCACCACCATCAGCTCCATGCCTCAACCTAACGGATGTGGGGCTTCCACCAGCACCCTCCTGGACAGCGTCGGATGCAATCGACGCTTTGCCTTCAATCGGCTCTCGGCTGCACGGCAGCGGCCAGTGCAAGCCGTGTGCATGGTTCTGGAAAGCGGAGGGTTGTAGGAACGAAGCAGCTTGCGGCCACTGCCATCTCTGTCCTTTGGGTGAAGCGAAAGCCCGGAAGCAGGCCAAGCTGGCCATGATCCGAGCCAAAGCCCAGGGAGATGAAGAGCTCAAGCCAGAAAATGGGCACTTGGGCCTGGGGCCCCAGGGGGGCCTGGGAGCCTCGGAGGTCAGACCCATTGTATTAACGCCAGCCCCAGCCTTGCTCTTTAACGTTTGCGAAGTGGCCCCGCAGCAGAGCAACCCAGCGCAGTTGCAGTCTTTATCCTTCTTCCCGGGACAACCTATGCAGTCCACAACAGTGCAACCACCCCAGCAAGTGCAAGTCCGTGTCCAACCTCAGTGTCACCAAGCCCCAGTTCCATCCATTCCACCGGTCCCACCCGTTCCCCAGTATTGCTCTGCCCAGCTTGGACAGCATCAGAACCTGCAGAGGCCCGTGCTTTTGGGCAACCCGCTGCCTGCTTTCCAACCGGCACAAAGCATTGGAGGTTTGTGCAGCAGAAGTGGTCCTGACGGTTTGAAGTGTGTCCCGTACGAAGCGGGAGAACGGCGACATCTTCCGCAAGAATTCCCTTTGGGGATTCTGCCCAGCGTGCCGCTTTATCACCAGCCAGTTCACCCACCGATGCAAGCGCTCCCAGCAGCCTTGCCATCAGTTGGCTCTGCATTGCATGCAGAGGGAAAGTGCTCGCCGTGTGCATGGTTTTGGAAGCCGCAGGGTTGTCGGCATGGGGCCGGCTGTGGCCGATGCCATCTATGTCCTGCTGGCGAAATCAAGCAGCGCAAGAAGAGCAAGGCATCCAAGGATGTTGCATCAGATCCCTTGTCTCCTGGCTGCAGTATCTGCAGCTTAGCCGACTTAGCTTTGTAAGCGTGTTTGCCACCGTGATCGCAGCTCGTTGAGGTGCTTTCCGGCTTCGCCCTTGATCCTGGACTAGCACTGGCATCTGATCATCTAGAATCTAGCGTGCCCCCTTGCGACGAGTCTGATTTCCCAACGGCCTTCAGAACTTGGCTGAGTTTCAGCTCTAGATGGGGCCATAATCTCTCCTCTCCGACTGCAAGCTAAGCTTGCACTCGCACTTGTAGTGACACTGTAGCTCCGGTGGAAGACAGTCATGACAAGTCATGATTTCATAGTGATCTTGGCATTGCAACCGGTTCGGGTTCCATATCGGATTGATGTGCATTGCCTTCCCAAGCAGCTCGCTAAGGGAGCCCGAAGAGATTTCCGAAGTGTTTTGCTCAGGGCGTGCCTTAGACGTCCAAGCAGTGGTTGGGGTCCTGACCTTCCAGCATAGCATCATCTAGCACCCAACTGCGAAATCGAACTTGACGAGAGGAGGTCTCCAGCCTTTTCTTGTTTACGAAAAGAGGCAGTTTTTTTTGACACATTCTTACCCTTTAAGGTTTTGGTCTTGACGACTTGCAGGGATTCCTTGGCAGTCTCTGAAACCAGCACAGAGCAGCCAGAAGATGCCGTGCCTGTGTGATGTTATCTTTGTTAAATTTCCGAGATGTCCCTGCGATTGGTCGGATAGATGTTGGCGCGCCAGCCGACGCTGGCTTTGTGATGGCTGCGCCGAGCATGCTCAGAGCATGGGCTTGGCAGGCCGGCGCTGAGAGTACAGATTGATCTCTGTCGCTGACTGCCGGGTGAGAGAGAGACACCGAAGTCGAAGCACCAGTCTTCGATTTTGCTAGTCCCACCATGCGGAGCTGACGCTGTGCCGTCTACAGTATAGGTGTGGACAGTGCAGGAATCGTAGGAGCATGCATGCGTTTGTGTGCTTGAAGCAATAGTCGAATTCAGGATATTGGAGTACTTGTGACAATCTCGCCTTAGACCCAAAAAAGACAATCGGTCGGCTGCAGTGCTGTTGCACGACGGTGCTGGAGATGAGAGACGTTCAGAGAAGGATTGCTCTCAGGCACAGACAGCTGTGCCCACGTCGTAGAGTTCATAAAACGTGGTCTTTTGCCAGCCGACCTCCTTTAAAGAGGGTGAAGCGTAGCATGGGGCACGAGAAAATGGCTTCGTTGCATCTCGGGCCTGAGTGTACACAGGAGGCGAATGAGGCTTGCTTGCAAATCTAAAGTTTGCTGTGTTGATCTGCATTCGCATGCACAGACGGCTGTTTTATACTTGATGCTCATCAGGACTCAGTCTGCCTCTACATGCCGCCAACGCCTGCCACTTGCGTGCCGCCCAGTGACGAGGACAAATGCATGCATGCAGACACACACGGCCTGCAGATGGCTCTTTCTGATCCGCTGCCTTCCGGGGGATTCGGGTAGCCTGATGGCCCTGTGGATCAGGGAATCCGTCTGCTCAGATGGTAGGAGGGCGAGCAGGAGGTCACTTGCTACATGAAAATCTTTTGTTGAGTATGCACTCTAGACTCTAGGTCGGAACAACTCTTTTACCGCCACGGCGTGGTTCTGCTGTCATGATTGTTCTTTGTCGATGTCTTCAGGTACTCTTTAGGTTCTCCTCGGATGGGTGACTGTCTTTCCGGTTTTCCTTGGTGTGCCGTTTGGGTCGGTTGGCCCTTGAAGGCCTGTTGTTCCGCAGCTTCATGTTTTTTTCCGTACGCCGGGCTCTAGCGCCTTCCTAAGAGTCACTCAATCTCAGTTTGGAAGTTACGAGCTCACACGCCGCTTCTGTAGCCAAGCTCGAAGCGTGCTGTGTTGTGCTCCCACAGTTCGCTTTCGACAATCATGAACAGCCTCTGCCCGTTAGGAGACCGGCGATGCAGACCATGCTGTTTCTCGGCGCCCAGAAGTTGAACTCGTACATCACATAATGCCTTTTTCGTGGAAGTGTCGCATGTTTCGCCGCCCCAGGCTGCCAGCTCGAGTACCCTTCCGTCCAAGGGATCTTTGCTGCATGGCACCGGCAACTGCAAACCTTGCGCTCCCCAGCAGCAGTGGGTTCGCAGTGTTTGTGTCGTGCATTCCTGCCCACATGCGGACTGCTGAGGCTTGGATGTGGAAATCACAAGGCTGCCTGAACGGAGCCCTCTGCCTGCGGTGCCACCTGTGCCCTGCTGGAGAGATAAAGAGGCGCAAGAAGGACAGAAGTGGCCGTCCGACAATCGAATTTCCTGCTGGCACACAAGCTCTTTCCACGCATTGCAGGAGCAGCTGAAGAGGCTCACAGTTCCAAGGTGCAAAGACAAAGGCGAAGAGGAGGAGGACGAGGAGGAGGAAGAGGAGCAGGAGACAGCCAATGCACTCAACGTGCTTCAGATGGGATCGAGCTCTTCGGTGATCACTCCGTTGCTTTCGGCAACCTCACTGCCTCCGGTGCCGCCCCCTTTGTCGTCCCCCTCCGTGAACTTCCTCGAAGACGTCTTGCCACCTGCTCCGACCTGGGAAACCTTGAAGGAACAGGAGCCCCTGGCCTCCGTAGGTTCTGCTCTTCACGGAACAGGGAACTGCAAGCCTTGCGCATGGTTCTGGAAACCGCAGGCGGGGCGGCCGGGCTGAAACTGGGTGATGGCCTCTTGGAGTTGTAACGGTCTTCCATCTTTAAGCCTGTGGTGTCTGGTCATACCTCTCAAAACTACTTGATCCGATATCCGATTCGACTGGAAGATGCGTTCGTGCATGATGCATGTCATCACAATGCAATCGTGCAATTTGAGCACATCTCTTGCTAGGTAATTTCCCTTCCCCTCCATTTCGGGCAAGCGCAGGGGGTGCAAACAGCAGACATCAGGTCAAACGCCCGCCAAGCTTCAGGTTGACATCTGCCAAAAAGCTTCAGCAGGGCTGATCACACAGAGGTGTCCTTGGGAAATCAGCCCTGCCAATGACGGGTTCGGATCCCCACATCCTGCACCCATGCGGTAGTAGGCTCTCCAGTCCACAATGGGGATTAGAATGGAAGGGACGTCGGACTAGGTGACTAGCTAGGGTGACTGAACTTGCTTTGCGCAGGGCTGCCGGAATGGAAGAGATTGCGGGCACTGCCATGTATGCCCGCCTGGCGAGTCCAAGATGAGAAGGCAGGTGAAGCTGGCGGCCCTTCGTGCGCAAGAGCCAGGGCCACAAGACGGAGAGGAAGTGGGCTCCGGCTCTGTTGAAGCCTTGCCTGAGCTCACGTGGAGGCCCCCGCCCGGCCTGGAGCTTGAACAGCCCCTGCCCCCGTGCCCGCCGCCATCCATGCCTCCAAGCTTGCCAAGCTTGCCTGAGCCTTTGGATTTCTGGTGCAAGGCCAAGACGGGTGCAAGGACGGCAGGCATCGTGCTGCAGCCGATCGAGCGGCCCCCGGAGCAACTCGAAGGAGCCATCGATGCTCCGTCGCTAACCGAAACCGAGACCCGGGCCCCCGTGATCGACTGGAGTTTACCCCTTCCAGACTCTCCAAAGTCCTGGAAGCCTCTGCCTCCGACATTTCTGGGCAAAAGCTTCGGAGAGCGTCAGCTGTGGACTGACCACATTGGCCAGAAGCTTGACAAGGCTCTTGACAAGCCCGAGGATCCTAGTGAAGAGAGTGGTGTAAAGCGAACCTCTACCCTACGGCTGCCAGCTTTGGATGGCTCCTGCCCACGAGTTCACTCTGGAGTAGCACTTGAACGTTTGCCCTCACAAGATCTCGGTGCTCTGCAGGCTGGCTCGTTTCTTTTGGGCTCTGCCCCACACATTCGGACGTTGGGCGGCAGGCAGATGACTTGGCTGACCTACCGTCCGTGGGATCCGTGCTGCATGCGAAAGGCGAGGATTGAGATTGCGACGTGCGCACCGTGCAGCCTTGTCTGGCAGGTTGCTGCAGTCCGTGTGCCTGGGTCTGGAAGCCGCAGGGATGCCTCCACCCCAGCTCGAATCTGCAGCTATCCTGTTTCGCACTTCTTTCTGTGGCTGCTGCGAGGCCACAACGGAAGAAACTGCGGTCGTTGCCATTTGTGCCCACCAGGCAGTTTGAAACGTGAGCCGGGCAATGGGGATAGGGATATGGCATAACGAGGCATTGCTAAACTGGAGCCTTTGGTTGGATGTTTCGTTTCCGGTAAACCGGGAAAGATGTCCGGAGCCTTCCACCGTGAAGGAGGATGGGGTTCTGACCAGTTGGACTGGGGCATTGGAACGGTGCATGACGTTGCGCTAAGCCACGTTGCTTCAACAAAGTCGACTCGGCCAGTGGCGAAACGGATGGGTTCTCGCATGTTCTCGCCACTGTCACATTCAAGAATCTAGGAGTGGGTTAAGGGATTCCTAATGCTGTTGTGTGTTACCGCCCTGGGCAGACAACTCCTCGTGCGGTGTGCCTGATAAACCGGGGCTCGCACGTGAGCCGGGGGGATTGGATGTGGGATTACAGTCTCAGGAAAGGGGGTGGACTAATTTGATGTCTGAATGCCCCAACCCCAACCCCAAAGATCCGGCGGTTAACGCGCGGATCTAGCGAGGGTTAGACTCATGCCATGACTTGGGGACGACGGAAGAAAATGAAGAACAACACCGCTTCCAACTCCGACTACGGGAATCCTTCAGGCGTACCCCCAATTGCTAGAGGGTTTGGCGTCCCGGACCAAAGGTCCCGAGAGTGCAGGGTCTGACATCCGGGTTTCGGCATATTAGAGCCTCGCCGCCAGGCGGACGCGAGACCCACACGAAAATCGCTTGACAAGAATTTGTTTTAAGCGCATGGCTCCCGGTTCGTATTATTCGCGGTTTTAGCATATGACGCCCAGACTGAGTACAGGTCAACCAGCACCGAATCAATGCGAGTTTTGTGTCCCGCGGTGCGTTCTCGTTCCAGTCACTTGACAAAAAATGGTTGTAGTGCATGGCTCCCTTTTCGTACTATTCTCGGTTTAGCGGGTCTCTAAATTGAATTACAGGTCAACCAGAACTGAAATTGATGTGTGCGTTTTGTGCCCCGCGGTGCCTGCTCCTTATCAACCGCTTGACAAAATTTGTTTTAAGTGCATGGCTTCAGGTTCGGACTATTCTCGGTCTAGCGTGTCCCCAGATGGAATTACAAGCAGCACCGAAATCGATGTGAGTTTGGTGCCCCCGCCTCCATCAATCATCGGACAGACACCGGTGCTGATCGTATGGCGCCCGTGTCGGCGTTATCTTTTTTTTCTCAATCGGCCATCTTCAGAAACCCAGAAACATTCAATAAGTCAGAAAAATTCAAAAACGCAGAAACCCAGAACCCCTAAACACCTAAACCCAAAAACGTCCAGAAAGGCAGAAACCCAGAAGCCCCAAACGCCTAAACCAGAAACGTCCAGAAGCCCTAAACAAACACTGCAAGTCCGAGATGCGAGAGCGTAAATGCAAACATCCCCAAACCCGGAAACACAGCCACCGAAACCCTGCAACATCCGGAAACGAAGAAACCGAAAACCCAGAAACATCCAAAAAACAGAAGCCCAGAAACCTTAAACCCAAAGAAATCAACCCGAAACATCACCAAACCCCAAAACGCAAAAACCGGGACACCTGAAGCTCCTAAACCCAGAAACGTGCAGAAACGCACAAACCCATAAACCCCAATCTCCTGAACCCCTGGACCCCAAACCTCCCAAACCCTTCCCAACGTAGAAGTCTATGGGAGATAGGAATCTCGAAACGGATGCAACGGGGAGCCGCCACCGTGTTACTGCGGCCAGTTTTCTTAGGGAGGGCTCATGGTACCACCGAAATCCATGCTGAAAGCGTGAGGAAGGCCTTGCAGTGAACCGAAGCCAGGACGGGTCGAAATCAAGAAGGAGCTTGAACGGCAAAAATGGACCTCAGAAGCCGTGCCTGCGTCAGCGAGTGTGCGAGTCGAAACCGGAAAATATCAACGAACCGGAGAATTGCGGTGGAGCCTTAAACACACAGAGACCGAAAGAGATCAAATACTGGACAGAGGAGGGAGCCAAGCCAGAAAAGACATATCCGGGGTACGAGCCAGCGCTGCCCGCCAATACTGGTTTGCATCCGACGTTCGACATCTTCGATGACATCGTCGCGGCTGAGGTGAAGGGGACGAACCAGCCTGCCCAGCACCCCGGCCCACTGCTGACAAGAGTGTTAACACAGGAGGAGCGGTGCGCAATGAATCGTGAACGTCGAGCTGAATATTGGGCCCAGCGACATCAAGACAGGCGCCCCCATGCGCCGCCAAGGGAAAGAACGGCCATGGCATGCCACGGCACAAACAGGGGAAAGCCTAGAGGTAAAGATCGACATTCGTGAACTTCTGACACGGACAGCGAGCAAAATGAGCTTTGTGTCCGGTCAATGAGATTGCATTAAGTGCTTTCGAGTCCTTGTATGTATACCGTACATTAGGTTGTTGCTCTCGACACTTCATTTGTAGACATGCGGGGCGCCCTGCTTTCGATCAGCACTTTGCAAAGGAGCGGACCCCGCCCCTGCGCCTTTCGCATGTAATTCGTTGACGGGCTGCCGGAGCCGTTCCAATCAGATCCAAACGTGGCCTTGTCTGCCCGAAACAGGGCCCCAGGCATGTTCTTTGCCTTCATCGCGACCCCGGGGCAAGCCGAGTATTGCTCTCGAGTGTTTTGCTGCGGCTCTCCTAACAGATTCGGGTTGTGATTTGAGTGATTTGAGTTGAACTTGTGATTGATGGCTGTTTACTTCTGAGTTTGGACACACTTAGTCTGCCGTCGTTTGCTGTTTCACCAAGCTTCCCACACAATATCGGGGGCTTGAGCGCGGGCACATCTGCCTTCTACCCTTCCGAAAGAAAGAAGCGCGAAAGAGGTTGTCCCGGACACTGGCGTAGCGCGTTGGATTGATTCTGAGGCAGAGGCCGCCCCCCTTGCGGGGACCGCAGACTTGCGGAAAAAACATGAAGACAGAGGGATTGCCGGCACCACACCCCTGCCTGCAAGCCTCTTGAATCATCAAAAGGAGCGAACCAGGAAGAGTTAACCAACGGGTCCGACAAACCAAGCAGATCGCGCCTATTGACTGAACTTGCCACATGCTTGCCTACCTAGCTTTTGGATCGGGACAGAAGGCTCATGAGGATGAACACACTTCCCCCGCCTTTGGGCCGAGAAGGGTCGTTGTGTTCCGTGTGGCAGGGGAAGTGAAGCTGCGCAAGAAAGCCAAGGCACGGTAGCATTTCTGTTTTCATATTGGGCCGACTTTCTGTTCGTTTGTTCTTGCATCGCGGGCAGGCAAGGGAAGCACGAAGTGCAGCCAAGGACAGCGAGTTGTGTGAAGTGTTTGTGGACTTGCACAAGAGGGTGCCGCAACCTTCATCAAACATGCATGTGGAGGTTTGGAGAGAGCAACTAGATCAGACACTGGTGAAGACATGTGAACAATATGACGACTCTCCAATTGCCCCGTTCCCTTCTGTTGTTTCCATGACATGTCTGCGTTTGCTATTCAGCTTCAGTTTCAATTCTGTTTTGCCTCCTCCCCCATTCCGTCGCCCAACAATCGCGTGAAGCTGGACAGCTGAAACCATCGTGGGGTCAGCAGCAACGCCGTCGATAGGAACTTCAAGGGCACAGGCAAGGAAGGGGTAGCAAGTTAAAGTCAGCAGTGAGGCCTGCCCGTACAACGCAGGAGATCTTTATGCCAGCTGTTCTGTGAGAGACTGGCTGGCAGAAGGCTAGTCATGAATTTTGCATTATGAGAGCCTCCCCGGATTGTGTGGACAGCTCAGAACTGAGAAGCTTCTGTTCATAGCAGTCGGCTGTGGCCATAGAACTGGGAGCAGGCTCGTGGGGAGGTTAGGCAGAGAGACTGCCTGACCTCACTTTGACGGCTTAAGGCTTAAGCCAAATAAGCCAACACTGCTTAATTCAGAATCTGTTTTGCATTCCTTGGCGTTTGTGTCCGAGCCGTTCAGAAGTCACAGTATCGCCTCAGCGGCCGTATCGATGTCGCAAATCAAAAGGCCCGTGACGTAGCACCAACGCCTGCTAGCATGGCACGAGACCATGTTGCCACAGCTTCTTGGGCTGATGGTGTGAGACCGCAACCTGACGCCCGAGACGTGAATTCGGGCCGTGGCCGCAGCGAGTGACAGCGCCGCTGCAATGCGAAGCCAGCCGTGGCCCTTTTTCTAACAGTTTGAGTGCGACTACTCGCACTACTCGTAGCCTGTGAGAGCAGTTGTGGCGCCTGCGTTGCTTAGTGTCCGGCGAGCTCCGCTTCGGAGCTCTCTGCTGGACAATCTGTGTATAGCGGTGCCTTCCATGAGCAGAGGCTGCTCCTTCAGCAGGACGGGTCCCTTTAAGCAGGGCAGCTATGCAGGGCGCAAGGATGGGCTGCCCGCTTGGAGAACACACGAACTTTGTCACAGTACAGCCTGACTCCGCTAGCAGAGGTGGACAAATTGTCACGGCTTTTGTATGCTTTTGTCTCAAATCTGCTGTGGGTTGGCGATTTGCACGAGATTGTGTTGTGACATGCTTTGTCGTCTGCTGGGAGCCATTCGGCTGAGCCTGGTCACGGGGTCGCGTTCGATTCGAGACGCTTGGATCGATTCCAGGCCGCTCGCTTCGCGTCATGTCCGCGTCGCGCCTGTGGCGGTCAAGGACATTCGAGCCGGTGTGGCTAATCTCTGTGCTATTGCTGCTATTCTGCAGGAGTGTCGTGGACAGGGAAGAAAGGCTTTGGGAAAGGCAGCTTCCTGGGCAGTCGCATCTTCCAGGACAACTGACAGGCACGGCAATACTCTGCAAGAGACACCAAGGTATGTTGACCATCCAGATCCGGACATCTTCGAGAACATCATAGCCGCAGCCTCACCAAGCAGAGTTCAGCTCTGAATGGAAGGTTGATTGCAATAGTACCTATGCGCATCTAAGCGCCCAAGGCAGGGCATGAACGAAGCATATGCTGCGAGCCATAGCGTCGAGACTGGAGCTATGCAACGGTTGACGCAATGGCCACCAACTTTCTCAACCGCAAGTGTGGCCAAGTTCAAAAGACGCATGTTAAACGTTGGTTGCATCTCTGTTGCTGTGCACACGGCT